CTCTGCAACCTTCAGTCACTACACATACGGAAGGATGCTCGTGATCCTCCCACCCCATCTTAGCAGGTGGCCCCCGGGGACCAGCCCTTATAAACACCTGTGTCTTTCATTGACTGGTGAAGATGCCCAGAAGTTGGCTGGCCTCCCTCAGGGTTCTGGCCTCAGTGCCCAACCAGGTCTGGAGGGCAAGACAGAGATGGGGCCAGGCAAGGTCCAGGTCCTCACTTGCTGCCCCCACAGGGGGAGCTCCCGCTCAGCGCCATCCACATCAACCTGGACGAAAAGGAAAAACAGATCCGCTCCTTCCTGATTGAAGGTGGGTCCTGGTCCCAGGCTTTGCCCTCCTGCCCAGCAGGGCCATTGGTGGGAGGGGAGAGGTGAGCCTGGTATGTGCCCCAGCTCTTTAGTGGGGGTTCTGTGGGGTGCACCCCATCCCAGAGCCCCGACTCATGGTGTCTGGTGCCAGGCCGCCTCATCAACACCATCCGCGTGGTGTGTGCCAGCTACGAGGACTACAGCCACTGGCTGCTCTTGAAGATGCCCAGAAGTTGGCTGGCCTCCCTCAGGGTTCTGGCCTCAGTGCCCAACCAGGTCTGGAGGGCAAGACAGAGATGGGGCCAGGCAAGGTCCAGGTCCTCACTTGCTGCCCCCACAGGGGGAGCTCCCGCTCAGCGCCATCCACATCAACCTGGACGAAAAGGAAAAACAGATCCGCTCCTTCCTGATTGAAGGTGGGTCCTGGTCCCAGGCTTTGCCCTCCTGCCCAGCAGGGCCATTGGTGGGAGGGGAGAGGTGAGCCTGGTATGTGCCCCAGCTCTTTAGTGGGGGTTCTGTGGGGTGCACCCCATCCCAGAGCCCCGACTCATGGTGTCTGGTGCCAGGCCGCCTCATCAACACCATCCGCGTGGTGTGTGCCAGCTACGAGGACTACAGCCACTGGCTGCTCTGCCTCCGGACAGTCTCCCTCAGGGATGGGGTCCCAGTGCTGCCCGGCCCTGACAGCTCCTCGGGGCTGCAGGTGCCCATACAGGTCAGCAGAGCACCCCCACAGCTTGGGTCCCGGGTGGTGGTCAAAAGTGGGGGCAGAGGGTGAGTCCAGGCGTGGGTAGGTGGGAGAGGACTCCAGCCACCTGGCTCACCCCCTGGCTGCCCAGGTTGTGGGCCGTGGTCAAGGCTCTCTCTCCTCGGATGGACGGACTAGCTGGGACTCTGGCTGCCCTGCACCCCCTTCCACCCGCACCAGCCACTCCCTCCCTGAGTCCTCAGTTCCATCGACTTCAAGCTGTCCTGCCCGGCCTGCCCACGTGAGTACCTGGGGGGGATGGTAGAGGGAAGGAGGTAGGAAGCCATCATATATGTGAGGGGGTCGGATCCCCATGACACTCCATCCTGGGCCTGGGCCTTGGTTCCTGAGGAGAAGGGACTCAGGCTGAAGGGAACTCCATGTAGCCTCAGAGAACTGAGGGCCCAAGAGAATTTTCTGGAAAGTCTTGGTGTCCACAGGACCAGGCCAACCCTGACTGCACCAGCATTGGCCGGAGGAGGGCAGAGCTGAGACGAGGCAGCAGTAGCAGGTCACTCAGAAGCAAGGCCCCGGTGGAAGGGCCTGGCCCAACAGCTCCACAACACCTGCACCTGGACCTGACCAAGGTGGGCCCGGCACACCAACCCCAGCTGCAGGCCTGGCTCTTGTGCCCACTCTCCACCTCCCTGGTCTCTGTCTCGCAGGTCCTCTCTCAGGCCCAGGTGGTCCTGGAGCACTCAGAGGCTTCCTGCACGGAGAAGGGAAGGTTCAGTTACTCTCACCTCGAGGAACCTCTCTTCCGTCTCTTCTCTCTAGCTGAACAGGCTGAGCCTGGAGGACAGTCCAGAGGCCCCAGACTACTCTTTGGAGACGCCACATTCCCCGCTC